AGTTGGGCCTGCCGTGGACCTTCTTGCCAGCGTCCTCGAGGTCGGCGTGACCGACGGGGGTGCTCACTTCTGCGTACTTTTCGGTGCTCATTGTGCAAACAAAAGCAAATTGGAGAATGGATCGAGATCTTGTAGTCGCTTGTGGGTGCGGCGCATTGAAGTTGAGAAAGCTCAAGGTCCGTTGCGGTTCTATTTGGTGGACCATCATAAGTCCACTGTACCTCTTGAAGCCCAACAATGTTCGTTGAGGCCTTTTTCATGTTGTGACCGGACGCCACGCGAAAGCTACTCGTGTGTACTCGACAATTGCTGGGCCTAAATCGTCTGTCTGGCAGCGTGAAGAATTCCGTCCAACTGATAGCGACTACTCCGCATACATACTAGAAAGAAGAGAGAAGGATACGAGGTCATTTTGGCGAGTGTGCCGGCGATCGGCGACCAACCTACTTGAAGTGCAATGTCGACGGCGTACAATTTGGCGCCAAATTTCAGAGCAGACCAGGACACCCAAGCCATGGATGGGCAAGCGAAGACTTGAATGGCTTCAGTGTGTGTGCTGTAGCACGCGGTGGCTCCCGCAGATCGCAGTTAGAGTGGTATGATGTCAAAATCGTGTCTCTTCCGAGCGTGGGATAATGTCGAGGCCTCTTCTTCTTGCACTGACCTGTCTGCTGCTTGGACGCTTGTCTGCGTCTTTCGCAGGCGAGAAACCAGGTGGCAGAGAAATGGGGCAAACTGGTCCTGTGAGGTTTTTCCCACGTCAACTCCTCAAAAGGGTCCTCCACAAAACGAGCCAAAAGGTTGCCGAAGGGACGCGAAGCGCACTGCTAGAACCTTTCCCTGCGCTAAAATCGACGACCGTATTGGCTCGTTAAAGGGCAGAGTGTTGCCGACTATCACAAAACGAGGCTGATTCTTCATTGACAATATGTATAATTACTCGGTCTTTCATTCTACTGGAGTCTCAAAAGTTTCTTGATAGTTGTGGTCGAGGACTTCATCCAAGCGCTATGGTTTCAATACCGCGGCCCATTCAATACCGCAGTGTGACTGCCTGATGCGGCGAGCCTACTAGAATTGTCCGACGTTGAATGGCAGTGTGTGGATCTTGAGGAGACGCGCTGGGCTTCGCCAGATCTAGTGTTCATCTTTGTTCCACGTGGCCCTCCGTGTCCCCAGCTGCCCGTGAGGTTATCACGAGGGCTCGCGTCGTCAATTTATTTCGGATCGCTGCTGACGGGCTGAATCCCTCACGCATTGGCCTCGCCAGAAGCGATGGCCTGGCCTTTCTGTCTCCGATTTCCAGCTTTTGCCAAAGACGGTCGGAATGACGGGTTTGTCCCGCGTTTTGCCCAACCACATGTTTCTACGTCGAATGGCAACATGGAGCGGGGCCACATTGAAGTTCAAGGAGCGGATCGTGACGTCGCCGTGTGGATCTTTGGCAGTGCAAGGCCACCCAAGTGGCGACGATGGCCGAGCGGGGTATGATGATGATGATCGATCGTGGCTGCCTTGGATGCCGGCATGATCTCGTGATGTCGCAGCCACTCGATTCGAGTCTGGCGATGACACACCGCAGTCTGTTTTATGCAGTAGAAGCCAACGCGAGCCTGTCGCGCGCTGCTTGTGCGGTATCTTTACCAAATCAACTGAGGTCCGATCCCAGCACCGCCTCACCGCCGCGCAGCCACGAAGCTGGCGGCCGTCGAGAACGATCACCTCGTTTCTGTCGCGGATCGAGGCACCTGCGGCACGCCGTGGCACGCCACTTGGTCAGAAATCTCTTGGCGACACGGTGGCATTGTGATGCAACAGAGCTTCTGCAAGCGTAAGATTCCGATGAATCCTAGTCGCTCCGTCATATCGCAACGCATGTAGTAGCGGCCGAGTAGCCATTGCATAGTATCCTGTGCAGGCTGCAAATCCATTGCGTAGTATCCTGTCCAGGCTGCAAATGAAAAGAAAGAATCAAGATTCATCTCGTGTCGGTTGAGCAATATTGTCTGCTTCGACAGCTGCCTCGGGCTAGCTTTGCACTCGAATTGATCGTGTCGGTAGAGCGGCGACGAAGAGGAGACTAAGTAAAAGATGGAGATTGAAAGCATACAGAAAACATGTTGGATTTTAAACGACACCTAGTCGCGCGGCGAGTAGACGTCCTGAATACAAAGCGAGTTGCGCTCTTGGATAAGGTACTCGACGACTTCGTGGTGGCCGTTCTCGGTCGCGGCCTTCATCGCGTACGCCGTGCAGCCCTCGGTACGATGCGCGTGGAGGAACTGGACGATCTCCAAATGGCCGTTGCCAGCCGCGAGATCCATCGCGTTGGTCGTGCAGCCTTCGGTCCGGTTCCAATGCAAAAACTGGACGACCGCCAAGTGGCCGTTGGCGGCCGCAATGTCCATTGCGTGGGCGGTGCACGACGCGCTGCCCTTGGCGTGCAGCTGCGTGAGCAAGTGCAGCTGGCCAGCGCTCGCCGCCTTGTCCATCGCGCGGTCATCGTCCAAGTCGTAATGCGTCATGAGCGCTCCGTGCTCGTCGTCGTCATGGACGCGGTACTGGATTTGGGGCGTGTCGCCGCGGTCGTAGACGAGGACGCCGGCAATGTACGTCTGGAGCACCTCGAGGTCGTCGCTTAAAAGCACGAAGTCGGCGTCGGCGCCAAATTCGAGCGTGCCTTTGGTCGGCGCCAAGCCGAGGGCCACCGCCGGGTGCAGCGTCGCTGCCTCCAGCGCATACTCGATCGAGCAGTTGGTGTACTTGCGCAGTGTGCGAATGCACGAGTCCATTTGCACGACGCTGCCGGCGATGGTCGTCGTGTTGTGGAGGTACGCGCGGCCGTCCTTGACGTCGACAGCGAGGCCCGCGAGCTCGTAGTTGCCATCCGGCAGGCCCATGCCGGCCATGCAGTCGGTCACGAGGACGAGGCCAGACGGGTGGCTCGCCTGCGCAATGCGACACGAGGTCGGATGCGAATGAATCCCATCGAGGATCAAGCCATAGTAAGGCCGTGCAGTCGTCGCGCCGAGGAGACCGACGAGACCCGGATCCCGGTGGTGGAAGGACGCCATCGCGTTAAACAAATGCCTAAGACGCGCGTGAAACGAATGCCATGGACATCATCAACGTACGTGAGCATGGTGATACCCGCGTCCATTCCGAGATTGGCTTGCTGGACGTTGGCCGACGAGTGGCCGGCCGACACGACGATGCCGCGCTGCGAGAGCTCCGAAATGGCCGAGAGCGCGCCCTTGAGCTCGGGCGCGAGCGTAACGATCGCCACCGTATCGCGCGTTAGCGGTCCGTAGCGCGCCTCAAGCGACTTGAGCCCTTCTTCCGGCTCGGCAAAGACCTCTTCCTTGTGGGCGCCCTTGCGCTCGCGGTTGATGAACGGTCCTTCGAGGTGCAGCCCAATCATGTTGGCACCGCCAACGATGTGGCCGTCGTCCGTGCGGGAAAACTTGGGGAGGACTTGGGAATATGTCTCGGCCGACGACGAGATGACGGTCGGGCAAAAGGCCGTGACGCCGGTCGCAAGGAGACGCTGGCGCACCTCCAGGATGTTCTCGGGCGTGCAGTCCATGTCGGTAAAGTCGTGCCCGTACGCGCCGTTGAGCTGGACGTCGAGGAACCCGGGGGCTACAATGAGGCCGCGGCCGTCAACGACGCGTGTCGGGCCGTACTCGGCGGCGGTCTGCGCGCGCCAGAAGCGCGCTTGCGGGTCCATGATCTTGCCGTTCTCGACCCAGAGGAACGTGGGCACGAGCTTCCCGCCGCGGAGGACGCGGACGTTCTCGATCTTGAGCGTCGTGTCGGTGAGCATGGGGCTGCTGTGGTTGGGGGCTGGGATTGCGCGCTCGCAGAAATGAGGCCAAGTGAGCGGCCGGCGAAATGCCAGCTGGTTTTGCCACGTCAAGCCAAAATAGCTCGGACGGAAAAACGTCACGAACCATCGGCTTGCCAGAAGATTCCCAAGCAGACGACATGTTGAAGTGGCCCCTGCGACGCGGGCACGGACAGGCCGGGTGCACGGAGGCCGCCCGATCCTCCCGCAGCCGACGCAGCCAAGATGGAGGCAGAAGTCGCCCAACATACCCACCGCGTGGCACAGAAAGCTCGCCGGCAATCTCAATACTAAAAGACTTACAGCGACGACGACGACAGCAGCGAGGGAAGAGCCCGCGTCGTACTATTATAGTACTACAGTAATCGTGGCCGCTGGCAAAGGGTCCGGGGATGATTCCTTGCGCTGAGTCCGACCACGTGGCAGCGCCACATTGCCTTTTGTATGGCCACCGCATCTGGACGGGATTCCGGATCCGGATACCATGCGTCATCGTCGCACACCGCGTGGGCATCCCACTCTGCCCGCGGCCGCCGGCGCGGGCCACCTGGTCGATGCTGTCGATGTCGCACGGACGGACCGGTGCTTGTGGCGGCTGCTCACACTCATTTCCACTTTTGCACCAACTCAACGATGCGCCTCATCATCCAGAAGAACGCGGCCGAGGTCGGCGACTGGGTCGCCAGCTACGTGCGCCAGCGCATCAACGCGTTCGCGCCGACGGCCGAGCGTCCGTTCGTGATCGGCCTCCCGACCGGGTCGTCGCCGCTTACGACGTACAAGAAGCTCGTGCAGTACCACAAGGAAGGCAAGCTCAGCTTCGAGCACGTGGTGACGTTCAACATGGACGAGTACGTCGGGTTGCCCGAGGACCACCCGGAATCGTACCATTCGTTCATGTGGACCAACCTCTTCCAGCACATTGACATCAAGCGCGAGAACGTCCATATTCTCAACGGCAACGCGCCCGACCTCGAGCAAGAATGCATCGCGTACGAAGCCAAGATCGCGGCGTTCGGCGGCATCGAGCTCTTCCTCGGCGGCATCGGCCCCGACGGCCACATTGCGTTCAACGAGCCGGGCTCGTCGCTCGTGTCCCGGACGCGCGTCAAGACGCTTGCGTACGACACGATCGTCGCCAACTCGCGCTTCTTTGGCGGCGACATCAACACGGTGCCCAAGATGGCGCTGACGGTCGGCGTCGGCACCGTCATGGACGCGCGCGAGGTGCTTGTGCTCATCACGGGCCACTCCAAGGCGTACGCTCTCTACAAGGTCATCGAAGAGGGCGTGAACCACATGTGGACTGTCTCGGCCATCCAGATGCACAACAAATCGGTCATTGTCTGTGACGAAGACGCGACGCTGGAGCTCAAGGTCAAGACCGTCAAGTACTTCAAGGGCCTCCACGAGACGCACGAGCGCATGATCAAGGACCACCCGTAATCTGTCTGACTGTACTTTAACACTACCCAACTTGCTGCTGTCAATTTTTTCCACCCTACAATTCGACGCCAGTTCGCCATTTTTATTCACGTCATGACGTGGCAGCGCGTAGACGCAGCATGCCGTACCCACACGTCGTTCTTCAACAGGATGGTGGTGGTACCATGATGGTGAACAGATGGAAACAAGGGTACATCTTTGATATAAGTGACCGCAAAGAGCTCGTGACAGGCGACCTGCGTCGACCCAGCGTCACTAAAGGCTATTCACACTCTGCCGAGTCTGTTGGGGCTCTGTCATTAACCCTCCAACGCCGGCGTCTGGCGCGAGCGGCTATATCATGGAGCCCTTCGAAGCGAGTGATACGTCGATCTGCCACTTGGCGGGCCACACGCCAAAGCAGGCTGCGTGGAGCTAGCATGCTATTACACTAGCCTCGCTTATAACCAGCACAGGTTTGCGAGAGGATTCTGCTTTGCAGAACAGGGAGCGCGAACCTCAATTCTTGATCGTCGCAATCAAGCTGACGCTGTGGCTGGCTCCTTCTCGCATCACTTGTCACTACGCGTAGCTCGCGGCGGACTCTAATAACCGACCAAGTCGACACGCGCTCATGACCACCAAAGCGCCTTCTTCCCGTTTGTGTATCCAACTCCCAGGATCAGTCTCGGGGCAGTTCGCTCTCGCTGAAATCCACGTCGGCGGGACGTGGCGCAGCACCCGCGCTGCCATCGGCGCATCGGCGTGGTGGGATGGTTGCATGTCTGACGGCGCCGCTTTGTACCTGTCGCGTGACGGTCATCCGCGGAGGCAAATCCTCTTCCACTGTCCTTTCCTAAACGCACAAAGTTTTTTGAAGCTTCTAGATACTAGTACTCGGTAACACAACTGCGCCCCGTAACTTGTTAGTTAAAGAGGTATTGCATTTAAGCCCAGGGTGCACCTCAAGAATAACTGCACCTCACCTGCGTTCCAAGGGAATTGGGTTGCTGCTTGTGATCTCGTCAAGCTCAGAGGACAGACACTCGAGAAGAGCGTCGGTCGGTCGCGGCCACTAGAATATCTAAACACATCGCTTGTGGCCCCACTTCTGGTAGTTCTACTGGAACAGACAAGCGGGGACGCGATGCATGGACAGTCAACCTCCAACTCTTCCAATCTCTCGGATGCTACCGCAAGCCCGAATTGCCCAACCAATCGCTCATGATCAGAAGATAGAGCGAATAAGAACTCCGAGTCGCCCACAGGCGCAATAGAGTGGGATGGCGACGCCGTGATCGTCTCCGCAAAGGGCTTGATAACCATAAGACTCGACTAGACAACTGCATCAACTGACCACGGCACCTGGTTCTGAGATCTAAGCGCACAGCGTTCAACCATAAACGCAGCTTCAACAATATGAAGGGCAGCTTTGCTTTTGGGTCGCATTCCTCACTTTTCAATTTCCAGCGCCTTCCCACAATGGCCGACAAGATTGCATCCCCCGCGGCAGACTACGCCCTTGAAGAAGGCAGCAAGAAGGTCCACGGCAAG